CAAATCAAAAATTCGAAGGTGTTTCGAAACGAGTATATTTAGCTATATATATATATATATATATATATATATATGTGTGTGTGTGTGTTTGTATATACAGGTACATACATATATATATATATATATATATATATATATATATATATATATATATATATACACACCTCATGTTACACATTGATTCTAGTGTAACAAGCAGTTTTCGCTTTCTACCCTCTTACAACTTAGTGATGTTGTTCCAAAGGAATCACGAGTGTCTCCGGATTGGTTATGTCATTCCATTTATTGAAAGGTGTCTAGATTCTCGAAAACTACAAAGAAAGGTTTATATTATCGGTCCTGATTTGACATAAATCACGTTCTCACTGCTGTGGCTTCCTTGTACCTTTTCTATAAGATTATTGTTCAAATGATCTCTTCTGCCTTGTACCTCGGTTGCACCAATCTAGATCGATAACGAGGTCTCGTCGTTTTAATGTTCAAACAGCTAGATGTTACCGTAAGATATAATGTAATAGTTTATTTTCTCACACCTCTCACCTGTGGAACTTTCTTCATGTTTCTTGCTTATAGAATTTAGATTTTTTTTCAATAATTTAATTGCAACGTTAATAGCTGTCTCTTATCTCTCTGAAAACCTATTCGTTTTTTTTTTACTTTTTACCTCACGAAAGACTTCTCATTCTTTTTAACTCTTAGAAACTTCTAGCGTCTTAGTGTTATCATCCCTTTTCTTGGGATGAAATGATTATAAATGTCTTGATTCGATGCATATCAGCCCCAAATTCTCTACAGGAACAGAGGTTTTCAAAAACAGTTTTGAAGCGTTGGTCGTATGAGGATGAAGCTTCTTGGAAATAATATCCCATAATGTTAGCTTGTTATATTATGGGATATTGATCACCCTTAGATTAGAAGGACAGTCCAGTCACAATTCGAGAAATTAAAGCAAGAAATTGACCCTCGTCGTCCATTCCACGGTTGTAAAACAAATGGGAAATCGTCTCATGTCATGACACAGCTTTTTACACTCAGCTGAACCACTGAACAACATAGCTCCCAGTGAGCGTCTGTCCCTGTGATGCAATCAACATAACGTGGAATAAAGGCTTTCTCTCGGCCCTAAAAAATCCCTCCCTCTGACTTCAATGATACCTGCCTTACTGGTCCTGTCAAAATCGCATCTGAACAGCTTTTGATCACTGTAGAGCAACCTTCAGAAATGGGAATATGCTACCGATATTGATCCCAATTGCCAATGCGGGCAATCACAAACTATGGAACATTTTCTATTTTGCCCCAATCCTGAAGATCCATGCACACTTGACAATGTTAAAACTCAGCCAAGGTTCTGGGCACAAAACTCGATCGTTTTCACAGACACAAGCTGTACCCCAAACATACAAAATGACTTAAATTGAAATCCTATACGAAGTAGAGGAATGATATTCGGAAAAGTTACATTCATGGATATCTACTGAATGTTTGCAAAACAAAACAATGCATACGACCATTGGCAGTGGCTAATATATTTTAACCTTGAATCTAATCACTTTGATGAGACCCCTGCGTCTGATGAATGAATTATCAGAAAAGTAAAATATACATTTCATGCTTTAAATCTTAGATCGTACAATTTTCAAATCAGGTAAACTCAATAGTAATGTTTCTTTGACATCACACTTGTTTAGTTATATACGGTCAAATCATGCAGAAGTCGGCGGTTTTCTTTCAATCGGCGAAGATTAGAATGGTCGGTACTGAGATAGAGGAGGGCTCGGTGATTCCAGATAAGGTAACCAATAGGGGATTATTCCCCTATTGGTTACAAAATGAATTCCCTCTTCTGGAATGCGAGAAAATAGTAAAAGTAGGTGGTGCGTCGACACACAGATGTTTCACTTAGCATCTTATATCTTTTTGGTGGAGGAAGAACGTCATTGTCAACGGCAACCTAATGGCGCATCTAAAAGACTTCAGACACTATAAATATTCCCAAGAATGTTTTTATTCTGTGTTCCTACATGGCATAGTCGATCATGATTCTCCACATCTTTTTCCTTATTAAGTTTAAGCAATACCTCCACATCCCTGTTCTGCTATCCATTTAGAAATGATCGATTGGTAGTTACTCAATATTTCCCTGAGCTCCTCCTGCCTTCAATATGTCCTGTGAGTGACAAATTCTTCGAGCCTTCTTTTCTCATTATGTCCCAAAATGCAACAAAGGCCTTTGGATGCAACTAAAAATCAGTGTTTGTTCAAGGATATCAATATCATATTACGTTGAAACACCGATTCTTGAACGATGACCGAAGTTAAGCTACGTTGAGCCTGGTCATTACCTAGATTTGCGAGCGCATCAGGTGCTGTAAGCTTGGATGTTCCCGTGGTTTAAGGGGTAACCCCACGAAATAAGAAATTTGAGAGGCGGTATTTACCAGACCTTTCCACGAGGAAGGATGTGGCATCAGGCCGATTTTTATGTGGGGCGATCCAAGCCCGTATTTTCGGGTAAAAATTCCCCGTAGATCCCGCATACACGAGGTTGGGTTTGTCTAAATCCCCAGAAGAGAGTCTGATCGTAGGCATAGCCTCGTCTGTGTTCCTCTCTGCACAAAGGCAAAGAGTTTGACAAGTGAAGAGCCTCTTCCAAGTTTCAATTCCAGTCGAGTTCGTCATACACACACGCTAATACTCTTGTGAAAAACATGGACTAGTAGTACTTCTATCAGTAAATGATTATTATTTCAGAAATGACTTACAATCTAAAATATCTTCTGGCAATAAATAACCGGCAAAAGGTTGATAACCCGTAAAAATAACGCACATTCTTATTGGATATATAAGTTATAAATTTATATAAGAATTACCGATTATTCACATTAAAAGATGTATATAAACGAAAAACGTTAAGTTCTATAAAAAGAGCAAAATTTGGCAATTTTAAATCCATTATTTGCTACGATTGTGAGTTGTATATAATTATTCTCATATTAATAATCCTGACATTAAACTGTCTTCATATCATTTATTTGCTCATTTATTAGCAAAATCAAAAGACAATACTGATGCAAAAACGATAACCACTTCTAAAATCCCAGTGGGTTTTTATTTAATTTCAGAAATGAAACCTACACAAATTCAATAGTAGAAGAGATGCGCGCACAAATTACTTACATCAAAAGACTTCTTCCAAAGTTGATAAGTTCGGTTCGCAAAAGATTCTAATCACACTGAAAAATTTCTATTATCCACACAAACCAATTCTGCATTAAATAAGCATTGACGCTCTAAATTGAAATATTTCAGATGTCCAAGACACGTGTGAAAATCTCCATGATATCTAATCTTAGATCTGCAGATTTCGAATACTATTCTTCGTGATCAACGCTCAAAGAATAGAAAATGACCCGGTTAATTTGACCCTCACACTTTTTGGAAACACATGTGTATTTTACATATGGAACAAATTACCCCACCCTTAACATAAGTCCAACGGTCAATCGCCTAACATAGGAGGTAGACCAAGGCCAAAATTTAATAAAATTCCTTTTATTCCTCCAATGAATTTCCGTTTAGACATGCTGATGAATAAATGCTTACTCTTTCTTTCTCTCCAGTGGACGAAGGAGACCCCGCTGCCGTGAATTGTATTTGACTCGGCTAAGTCTGGAACGTCACCAGCAACGAATGTATCTGTTAAGCAAAGGTAAAATTATTCTCTATATTTTATTGATGAGAGAATATCAAAATGCATCTGCACAAAAGGCGAGTATTCGATTATTTCAAGTAAGAAAATATTTAAATTTAATATGGCTGCGAGTAATTTAGCCTGGCATTTGTTAAGCATATTTTTTCAACTGTCTGCAACTCTTCTTTTTTAGATTTGCTGAACTTTTTCTTTTTCACATAAATTGTTTTAATAAAATACTGGTCAAGAATATTGCATATCGGCATTGTACTTAATTTTCAAATAATGACGTTTTCATGCCAACGTAGTTTTTCTTGGCTATAATTTTAGATATTTTTCTTGTCTGCTGATTTTATGTGCATGATGGGAGAAACGTTTAAAACTGCCACAACGAGGATTTTGAACATCTACTATTAATGGGTTATTTTTGTTTGAATTTTTTTTAATTTATTGACCAATATTTTAAATCTAATCAAAAATAGGAAATTCTCCAAAAAAATTTTAAAAACGAATAAATATATAGTTTTAATATAATTTTCAAATTGACTTTTCTATTTTATCCATTCTAGCTAAATTTAATTTAAAATATCAACAGCTAACTTCATTTTCTCCATCTCTTTCCCCTATTGAAAATGTGATGAATAAAAATGCTTTTCATATTGAATTTAGGAAGAAGTTTATGTTTATGAAGGGTTTAACATCTAGCCATCAAAAAAGATTAATAACCCATACTGGTGTATAAATACGTGCGTGTGCTTTCAGGAAAATCCATGAATTTAAACGAGTATGCCTCCTGCTGATGTTAAGCAGCAAATGTGTCTCTATACTTGAGTTCATTCTCTTCTCTAAACAGGAATTAAGACTGTATCACAATTTTTGTCATTCGATTTGCACATTCATTCAAGAATTAACATTTTTCTTACTATTTTTTTTCTTTATGTTTTTTCCACATTTTATTTCATTTATTTGGTTTTACTTGAGCCGTCATGGTATGTTTGCCTGTCAGCGGGATCAACTCCAGCGCACGTGACACATAACCGAAGTGAGAAAGGCGGAAGTAAATAGGAAAAGAATGTGTGGATTCCATATATATGACTTGGCTTCTGGCGAGAGGACGTTTACCGAACACACATCGCACATCTGAATCAAAAAAGGAACATATGTCTAGGGATGAAAGAAAGAATAGAAACGAAAAACAAAGAGAAAAATAAGGAATTAAAAAAGAAAGAAAAAGAAAGCAAAAACATGTTAGCAATTCAACGTGGCAGTAGATGCTAAAATTGTGTACAATTCTTATATCTATGCAATGCAGGAACGTTTGCAAATTATTGACATTCCTCTTTTCCCTTTCTTTCACTTTTTACGGTGGGTATTTTCCTTTTATACCTGTGATAATATCTCTTTAAAGGGGGTATTTTCCTTTTATGCTTCTGGTATTATCTCTTTAAAGGAGATATTTTCCTTTTATACTTGTGATATTATCTCTTTAAAGGGGGTATTTTCCTTTTATACTTCTGGTATTATCTCTTTAAAGGGGGTATTTTCTTTTTATACTTCTGGTATTATCTCTTTAAAGGGGGTATTTTCTTTTTATACTTCTGGTATTATCTCTTTAAAGGGGGTATTTTCTTGTTATACCTCTTGGAATTATCTCTTTAAAGGAGGTATTTTCATTTTATACTTCTGGTATTATCGCTTTAAAGGGATATTTTCTTGTTATACCTCTTGGAATTATCTCTTTAAGGGGGTATTTTCTTTTCATACTTCTGGTATTACCGCTTTAAAGGGGGTATTTTCCTTTTATACTTGTGATATTATCTCTTTAAAGTGGGTATTTTTCTTTTATACTTTTGGTATTGTCTTTTTAAAAGGGGTATTTTCCTTTTATACTCTGGCATTATCTCTTTACCAATGGAAAAACATAAACTCCACTGGAGCTTAAGTGACAGCAATTCTGCTTAGTTCCAACAGTCTTTTCTAAATTCTGTTTTCAATGTCATTCTCTCGATGCCTCCAACTGCTTCGCTAATGTCCCTGGCTTTTTTCCCACCAACTTTTGGGCCGTTTTCAGCACTCCAGTGACTACTATCACGACTATAAACTTCATAATCCACCGGAGCTCTCTAAAAAGATCAAGTTATTCATTTTCATCATCATCATCATCATCATTATTATTTTTATTATTATAACTTTTATTATTTTTTTTCTTTAGTTTCTGGTGTATACTCATTTCTTTCCGGGTCACAACCAGAGATCTAAGGTCAGCAATGGCACCATGACATTTTTCACTGAGCAGTTTTGAAAAAAAATAATCATATATAGTGTGGACTGTACTTGTTAGTACATTTTTTTGTATTTCTTTAAGGCATGGACTACCAGGGATTCCTTCAATTTTTCTATGTTAATGTCCTCATACGTCTTATTTTTGAGATTTCGATTTCAAGGTCTTTGTATTTTGATATTTTTTGAAGATTTTCGAAGATACATTGCATTTCGCAGAGAGTGCCATGTCAATAACGAAACACGTTTTGTCTTTTCCGTCTCTAATCACGATACCAGGGCGATTAGCTTTGATTTTTCTGTTTGTTTTTATTATTATTATTGCTATTATTATTATTATTATTATTATTATTATTATTATTATTATTATGTGGGGTATCATTTTGCCAGAGAGTAACTCTAAGTGCCTCAGGATTCTATAAGTAAAAAGGGCACTATAGGGGGATTATCTATGCACATTTGAGGACGTTCCTTTAGATGGGTTTTGTGGATATGTACATTTCTACTCAAAGTTATCTGTTGCAGGTCTGAGATTTGGATGTGGCCAGGAATTTTTATTCTTCACCCTTCTTAATCATGCGCAATGCTCTTATCACAACAGGGATATTTGTAGTTTTAAGTTTCCACATTTTTGTTACTTCGATTTTCAGGTCCTTATAAATTTGAAAGTTTTTAAAATTAAAACATTGAAATTCTGTGGGAAAGTCATATCAATTAGTTGGTAGTTTCAAGTTTTGAAACCTTTTATGGCTACCTCTGGTCTATTTCCATCAATTCTCCTGTCGGTGAGGGTTACGGAATACTACGGTATAATTACGCCATTAACATTTCTGACATTATTATTATTATTATTATTGTAATGTTGTTGTTGTTGTTTCCTGCTTTGTATCCTGTAGAGCCTGGTCCAAACTATGGTCTTTAGGCCCTATAGAAGTATATTCGTTTAACTGATAGCACTTTTTTAGTATATGGGATGTTCCTAGTCGGAAGATCGTCTGGGCAACTTATATGTTGATGTTACCTGGGACATTTATAGTAAAACTGTCCATTCCTTTTTCTCACGAGGGCCAGAGATTCGATTACTATTGGTACAGTCTAAGTCTCTATTCCCCACATCCTGTTAATCTTGATCTCCATGTCCTTGTATTTGGACAATTTCTCGAGAATTTTCATGGCGGTGTTTCTCTCAGATGTACCGCTATCTCAGTAAGCATACGCGTCCTGAATTTCTTGTATTTTAATATAATATCAGGTCTATTGGCTTTTATTTCCCTGTCAGTTTGAATTGGCTTGTAACAGAGGATAGTTACATCGTTATTTTGGATATCTATGTCTTGTTGGTGGTCATACCATCTCTCAATGGTTTTGATTTTTGTGTTTCTTGCATATCCTCCAGTGCACATATGTCGCTACGTTGTTATGTCTGTGGGTATATTCATTTTTCTTTTCTTTTTTTTTTGCCCGCTCCGGACATCCTGAGAGAATATGATCGACAGTTTCATCATATTTTCCGCAAATCCGGCATTTCGCGTTAGTTCCATTATTGAATATGTGACAGCGATAGGATCTGGTTGCGAGGCTTTGGTCCTGAGCTGCAATAATTAGACCTCCTGTCTCAGCTTTCAATCCGGTGCCCCTCAGCCACTGATGTGTTTTCTGTTTGTCCGCATCTGCTTCTTTCGTTTTTTTTAGGTATTTTCCATGCAACGTCTTATCCTCTCAGGATTATTTTTGTCAAAGTTGTTTTACTTTCTGTTTTACTTGTTTGGTGCAGATGGTATTCGCTTCGTTTTTTAACAGGATTTCATGCATATTAAACTGTTTCTTGAAGAGTGCAGCTTCTTTGTTGATGGGGTGGATTTGGTTTTTTACTATTTGTAGGATAGGGGCACTGGTTTTTTGAGGCAGACTTGCAATCTGACTGTTGTAGATTTTAGAGGTAATTCAAATTGGATTAGAACTCGGCCTCCTAAATCTCTTGGTACATACCGCCTATCAACATCTGATTTCAGGTGGTACATCCTCAATTGGGTAAGCGTTTTCTGATCTTGGAATCCAACCTTTTAATGTCATCCAACTTCCATTTAATAATGTTGAATCTGTATGTCACTACGAGTATACCTAAGATGTTGATAGCCTTCATTTTATTGGCACTATTTAGTTCGCTTTCTAGTATCAAACACACAATCCTATAATATTCTTTTCGAATCCTTTTCTTCATAATTTAATATTGTTTGTATGTACCATCTTGGTCTATACCCTTAACCTCGTTGTTAATATCAAGGTCTAAATTCGTAGTGTTCGTTAGTTTAGCGCCTTTGAAGGTGGCTTTGGCACATTTTTCGATCCCGAACTGCTTCCTAATGTTTTGGCTTAAGGTTTTGATAATGGTGGGGGGTAGTGTTTTCTGCTGGTTGTCATCTTTGGCGAAAGTTTTATGATTATCAATATAGAATATGATTCAGTTTGCCATTCTATTTTTTGTATCTGGGGTTACTACGTTCAGCTGAGTGGTGCTAATCAAAGGCAGAAGAGTAGTGAGGGAAATAAATCTCCCCAGGAGATGCCACTTTTGATGTTGATTGGCCTCAATGTTAATGACCCCTTCGTATGGTTTAGGTTTAGTGTAGTTTTCCATTAATCCATGCTCTCCGTTATGAATTTGACCGTTGTGGGGACAGACTCTCTATATTTTTAGGCTCTTCTTTATCCATGAATGTGAAACACTGTCGAAAGCGTTACTTTAATCAATCCTTGCTATCGAAAACTTTCTTTTCCCTTTTATCACCTCTTCCAATTAGTTGGTCCTTGCACACGTAACTTCCTCTTTGACATCCCTTCTGTTTTGTTGTGATTAAATTGTTTTTCGAAACGAAGTTGTATGTCATCTCAGTTATGATAGAAGTGATGATTTTTTTTTTGGCAAGCCTATAAATCTTCGAGTTCTCCGTCTTCTGTTTTTGGGAGTAGGCATTCGACTCTCCAGGTGAACTATTTGGGGCATTTTTCTGGGCTTATGATTATATCATTTAATTCCCGTGCAAGTTTCTGGTGTGTGCTAAATAGTTTGTTTTTTTTTTTATCCAAAAAATTGTCTATTTGGTTTATTCCTTGTGCTTTTCAGTTTTTATTTTTTTCAGATGGCATCAGTTGTTTCAGTAATATTGATATCCTTCCATTTTTGGCACTCGCCCTCTCTCTCGGTATATATATATATATATATATATATGTGTGTGTGTGTTGTTCGTGTCGTTGCTTGAGCCATGTACGTCTTTCAGTGCATTTTGTACCTTTCCCACACCTCAGACCAGAACTCTTTGACTTCCTGGATAACAGATGGGTCATTTATCTCTATTTTATTTTTCCCACGTTCTCGATATAGTTTCTTGGTATCTTTTTTAATGATCATGTTTTGCCAGAAGAATTCGTTTCTTTTTTCGTAACGCATGATTCTCTGTACCTTCACTGAAATTTGTTGTTACAGCTTCTCATTAATTTTTGGTATGCCAGTTTTTTTCTTTACGTCAAAGCTTCGCTTCAATTGTCTCCTTTTTCTTTCTTGCATTTTGAAGCGCTTGTCTACTTCACTTTTCACAATTCTCCTAGTAGGTTATTTAGTCCGTTTTTCTTTTTTCGCTGATGTTTTCTTTTTAATTTTTCACCTACTGTTTCAGTGATCGTTGCTGAGGCTACTTATATAAGATGATAAATTTCTGCGAGGTCCATCATTCTTTCCATTTCATCACTTATTTTTCTAAATTCTTGGTTAGCAAAGTTGATAGTTTCCTTTACTTGACCTGTCTTTCTTACTTTTGGAATTGTCGGCCTTACCTTGAAAGACATTTCCTTTACGTTATCCTATTAAAATCGGATGTTTTTGTCATCTCTATTTTTCTCTCATATTTGTCATTATCTCGATTTATTTGATTGTGTACACCAGAGGGATTATTAATTACTGGTTTCTATTTGTTCCTCCGGTTTTTGGAATTTAACCCCTCTATGTTAATGTTTAATCTATTTTTGATGCTTTCTTGGATTCTTTCTAGTTCTATGTTATGTATTCTTTTTTCCTGATGATGTCACGCCTGGCATTGGCTAGTTTGTTGTTTTTTTTTTGCATTGATGTTTAGTCTGAGGGTTTTTTTTCTCACAAGATATTATAGGCGGCTTTGCTCGTTGTTGTTGTCGGATTTATTGTAGCGGTTTAAAAGGCTATCATTACTTCAATATACTCTTCCCTAGACCACTTATTTATTGTTCTTTTAATGAATATAGAGGGTCTCTGTGAGAACTGTCTTTGTCTTGGTTTTCCTCTAGTTTTCGTAGGGTAGAGTTTGTTCCAGTTGCAGGTTTTTCAATCCCAGTCTGCTTCCTCATTAGGAATCGCGATCCTTGTTGACCAGCATGACAACCGATGCGGTTTATCAGTATCTTTCGTTGTGTCAGTATTGTAATTAGTTCGTATTTACCCATACGTAGGAACTGGTTGGTGGGCGCCAGAGCATATCCATACCATAATGGGCCATCACGTTCAGGAGGCCAGGCCTCCTTCTGCTATTTTTTCACTATTATTATTAGGAGCAACAACGGTAAAATCTTCGTTTATAAGCGTTTAGAGCCCAAAGAGACACGACGTGCGTCAACAGACTCCTACATAACTTCAATTTTCAACGGAATTTTCTTTGACTTTTTCTCTCTTATGTTCACTGATATGATATGAAACTAAATCTTCTTAATCCTTTTATTACACGAATATGTTTTACCCATGAATACAATGGGTAAATACAGTTACTAATAATATTTAAAGAAAAGTTTATTATAAGTGTTTGTAATGTATATCTTATAAAATGAAAAATATATATAATTTTCTAACAAAAGAACATTAAAAAATAACGGTGAAGTCACCATCACAACAATCACCATCAGCACAACCACCATCATCACCACTACCATCACAACTGCTATTGAACCCCTCTTTGTTTTTCTTTCTTTTTCTCATCTATCTATCTATCTATCTATCTATCTATCTATCTCAATTTGTTCATATTCATCTATCTATCTATATCTATCTCAATTTATCTATATTCATCATATCTATCTATCTATCTATCTATCTATCTCAATTTGTTATATCTCATATCTATCTATCTATCATCTATCTATCTATCTATCTATCTATCTATCTATCTATCTATCTCAATTTGTTCATATCTATCTATCTATCTATCTATCTATCTATCTATCAATTTGTTCATATCTCAATTTGTTCATATCTATCTATCATCTCATATCTATCTATCTATCTATCTATCTATCTATCTATCTATCTATATAATACTAAAAGTCTTTCAATCATGCTTGCGTCGTCCATCGGGCGCATAATGATTTAACAATTTTTTAAAATTTTAAAACAAAAATATTTTTTTCCATATTTAAAAAAAACTTCAAGTGAATATGATTTAAAATATTTCTGGGCATTTTAAACATTAGTTTTAAGCTAATCTAATTTAAAAAAAAAAAAAAAAAAAAACATTCCAAGTGAATAATTTTCAAAAATACGAGTTGTTTATATAAGTATCATATTTTTATTTCAAATTCCTTCAAACAAATAATTTCCTTTCTTTCTCCCTTTTTTTCAATGTTGAAATGGACATTATTATTAGTAGTAGTAGTAGTATTTGTGTCAATATCCGCGCTGGAAAATATACAGTTTTTTTTTCGGGAAATTACTCATTCAAGGTTAAGGCCTGTGACAATTTTATCCGACATTACAATACACAGAGACAGAATAATCAAAGCTAATCGCCCAGCCATTTTGAACAAAGACGACAAAAACAGAATTTGCTTTATTATTGGCATTGCAGTCCCTGCAGATTGTAATGTATCTTTCAAAGTATTCAAAAATAAAATGATCTTGAATTAGAAATTTCAAAAATGTGGAACATGAACGCATCAATAATTCCACTTGTAGTTAGAACCCTCGGATTGATTGGAAAAGTTTACATTCCTTGTAGCCCATGCTTTAAAGAAATACAAAACATTTTACTCACAAGTACAGTTCACACATTACGAAGAGCTTTTGCTGTGTAAAATCTGCGTGATCTTAATTTTTTGCGCTCACTTGATCAGTGGAAAATATCATAAAACCATTTCTGAATTTAGGCCTCTGGAGGAAATCTGTATACAACAGAAATCAAATAATAATAATAATAATAATAATAATAATGAAACTGGAGCATGATAAAGCTTATAAGTACCTAGGAATTAGCGAAGGAGATGGCATACAACACCCCCAAATGAAGGAAAAAATAAGAAAAGAGTACTACAGGCGTGTACGTCTGGTACTAAATACTGAGCTAAACTCAAAAAACAGGATATCAGCCATAAACACATTGGCTGTCCCTGTGGTGCAATACATCTTTAATGTCCTTAACTGGACCATAGCTGAAATTAAGCGAATGGACGCCAAAACGAGAAAGCTTCTCACTTGCTATCGCATGCATCATCCCAAAGCTGATGTTGATCGTCTCTATGTGCCCAGATCCGAAGGAGGCAGAGGATTAGTTCAACTAGAACTGTCCTACAAAACTACAATAAAACTACAATAATTGGCCTCCAAAGATATTTGGAAACTACAGAAGACTGGATGATGGTATGCGTCAAGGAACATGAAAGTAGTAAGCGTCTTTACTCCGTAATGAAAGAAGCCAACAAATTCAAAATGGAGTTTCAAATGGGCGTAGAGATGCAACTACAGCACAATACACCGGCTGAAACTGCAAAATACCTAAAAAAGACAGCAAAGATAAACCGCTTCATGGCCAATACTCTGCCCGTACCAAACAAGCTGACGTAGACAAACCCGTACCCATCAGTGGCTACGTAGTGCAGGGTTGAAAGCGGAAACTGAAGGTTTTATCCTTGTTGCGCAGGACCAATGCTTGCTAATTAGGAATTATCAAGCACATATACTAAAATGTTGTGTCAGCCCAAAATGCAGATTCTGTGATAAGTATCCAGAAACGATTGATCATCTTGTATCAGGTTGCACGGTGTTGGCACCCACTGAATATAAAACCCGACATGACAGAGTGGCCCAATATCTGCACTGGAAAATCTGCAACTTCTACGGGAAGGAAACTGAAAGAAACTGGGATGAACACCACCCAGACCCGGTTACGGAGATAGGACCTGTTACAATTCTATGGGACTACACAATACACACTGACAGAACAATCAAGGCCAATTGGCCAGATATTGTTATTAAAGACCACAAACAAAAATGGTGCCTCCTTATTGACATGGCAGTCCCTGCTGACTGCAATATATCTTTGAAGATATTCAAAAAGTTGTCAAAATACAAGGACCTTGAAATAGAAATCTCGAAAATGTGGCATATGGGAACATCAACAATCCCTGTTGTAGTTGGAGCCCTAGAACTGGTTGGAAAAGATTGCAGTAGACTAATTGAAGGGATTCCTGGAAGTCCATGCCTCAAGGTGATACAAAAAATTGTTCTGACAAGTACAGCCCACACCTTACGAAGGGCTTTATCTATGTAATTTAATTTTTTTTTTTTTTGATAGTGGAAAGTGTAATGACGCCATTTTTAACTTTGGCGGGACCCGGAAAGAAATGTGTAAACGCCAGAAATCAAAGAAAATAAAAATAATAATAATAATAATAATAATCTTAATCTTTCCTAAGAGCTAGTTAAGTTGTGCATCCAAGTTTTAAACTTGAATCTCAGATAAAATATTTTTTTCTCATAAAATCATTGACCATATTATATTGAGAGATTCTCTGAGTATGTGAGCGATGCTGTTGAGCATAATTTTAAAAAGTCACGGAAAGGATCGGTTTCCTGGAATATTCTTAATGACAGGAACAGTATTCTCTTTAATCATTCCATTTTTCTGTTATTACTAAAATAATGAGTTTTTTGCAATTTCTATTCCCATGTCCTTTAAAGTTAGCCAAATTCTTTTGAAAGAGCGTATACTTTCCCGTGAAGACATTTATTATTATATTTGGTCTGTTGGCTTGTATAGTCCGGCTCGTATTTTTGGTGAATGTCTCAGATAACTTTAACATTTTTCCACTTCTAGCATTGGTTATGGTTTATGTTCATCTGATTTTTCTACATGGGGGAAAGTTATAATATTGACATATCTTCCAATATAGGCATTTCCCTACACCGCCATACCTATATTTAATTTCAGATGGGAATATGTTAGAGTATCCAGGTATTAGACGGTCAATAGTTTTCTTGGCCTTTGTACAAAACGCAAGTTTTGATAATTTTATTTTCGTTATTATTATTATTATTATTAGTAGTAGTAGTAGTATTAGTAGTAGTAGTAGTAGTAGTAGCAGTGGTAACAGTAGTTCCATGGCTTTGTTTTATACAAACTGTTCCTCTGATTTAACCAGAGACTTTAAGATTTTTTTTAACCAAAATTTCTACCAGCATGTATTTTTTGGTGGGCAGAGAATAATCTTCAGAATTCTTTAAAAAGAAAATGTCTGTAATTTCCTTGTTTATACTGCCAAGAATGCATTGAACGACCATTCATAAAATATTACCATATTTTCCTAAAATATACAAACTAAGCAATTTGGACAAAATCTTCAGCAAATTATTTGAAATTGATTTTAAACTCTAATTAAGTGATATTTTGAGATAAATGGATGAGAATAAAATTAAAGTCTTTAAGTGGCTCTGATAGAATTTACACTTTCAACATTCAAGGAAATATGTGAAAGGAGCTGAACTGCGACGTGCATGTTTAAAAAAATAATTTCATCCTCTTAATAAAGTTTTTACAAGAAAGAATTGTAAAAATGTTCCCTGAATTTTGCTAAGAATTGGTCGTAAATTACAAGAAATATTTTGTAACTCTGAAGGCAACAAAACATCAACCAAATATTTGGGTGGTGTCAAAATATTTCTGAATCGCTGAATATTTGGGATTTAAAACTTTCTTTGTTACATGGAATGAAATTTGTATAAGATGTGTGAGGTACCCATGAAAGGTATTTACATTTTCTTTACGGGGGACAACCAGGAATTTGGGTTACATATTTGTTTGTATTTTTAACGTTGTGTTCTGCCTTTACTCTGTCTATTACGATCTGCTCCCAAATCTAAGTTAATTGCAGGGATCTCACTCCCCTCTCAATTTGCCAGAAATCCACAACCCCCCCTCTCCTAATTGTTTTCATTCTTTTCGATGAGATTTCTGTGTTCGGTATTAATTTGTATCATTCTTTCAGCTCACACATTTCGTTTCGTCATACTTCTAACGTTTTTCTAGCTGGAACAAAATTAGTGACCGTTTTGATTCATCACAGGGCAACAGCTTTTCTTTAAGTTGTCAATTTTTTTTTTTTTTTTTTTCGAAATAATTTAGGATAATCATTCACCGCTGAATCCGAAAATGGTATCCGTTTCTCTCGATCAGGTCATGTTTTTGTGCTAAGTTGAGGTTTTTTTTATAAATCTGATCTTCTAACTAAATCGATTACATTTTTGTGACATTATCGATTGAATTTTGTTAATATCTCTCATGCGAAATATAGTTTTTAATAGAAAAAATTGTTTTTTTAACACAATTTATTATTAAAATGTTATAAACATCAATTACAATGAATTAAATAGTATACTTTGTTAAATAAGTATATGTAAATTGCATGTTATATCATCATTGTTCAAAATTCAGGGCTTAAAATTCTGTTTATTCGAACTCTCAGAATGATCGGCGACAGGGGCGTCTCTCTTCAGAGTCCTGCTGTAATCAGTCATAACGACTGAATCACAGAGTCCCTAATACCTGATCTCCATCTCTTTTTTTCTGGTTGGACATGTCCTGATGGAATTTCTTCTCCTCTTCGTAGCTCATTGATCCCAGATTCTCCGGAAACCGATCCATATGTCCGAATAAATAATGCATTTTGATGCTTATGTTGCATCCGAGGTTTCTGAAATTAGTCATCATATTGAAAAGAAGTTCTGCGTAGTTACTGGCCTTTTTGTTGACAAGAAAGTTCTTCACGGCCAGAAAAAAAAGCCTTCCATGCTTCCAGTTCCACTTCGTATATTGAGATTTCAAAGCCTGGTTATCTGATGAGCTCTATTTGAAATTCCAACGTATATCACTTCCGAAACTTCGTGAATATAGTAATAAAGATGAGGATAACAGTCCGAACGATGTAAATAGTGCAATGTTTGTTTTTTCCTTTTTCCCATGTTTTTTTCTCTCTTAGTAAAACCTTGCATCGCTGTACCTTTATTGACTTAACTTGGGGTGAATGATTACAATAGTATTCCAATCG